GGTGTGTCATTACCTCTGCGCCACTGCGATAACAGACCTCATCAGCGTCCAATGCCGGCGGCGATTTGTTTTACATTCCGTTGCCTCTCGAGACCGAAAAACGCAGCCACCAAGCGACCCTCTGACCCACTCAACCACCCAATTATCCAACTATCCAGCCCCCAAAAATAACACCCGCCCACTTATCCGCATCACCTAGTTTTTGGGCGTTGTGCGTGTGTGTTTGTCAGTCAGTTTGTTTACAGCTCGCAAAAAAATGGCAGTCCACAAAAAACAAGTAAAGCAGATGCAACACAATTTTTCATGGAATATATCAAACATGGAAATTTGATTGGTTTCTGCTCTCAACAGATGCACCAGCATATAAAGTGCATTTGCACTGCAATTTCCCAATGGCGAGAGGAATAAACCAAAGTCGCCTTAAAATTCACAAGTGCAAATATAAGCTTACGACTTGTAAATGAGCATTGATGACTTTAAGAATATCAGTATTATCTAAGGTTTTTGATTTAATTATACGATTTTTAGCAATTGTTAAAAAATTGTGATTTTTTTGATACATTTTTTATTTAAATGTATTTTAAAATATACAAAATTATATAATATATGTATAAAAGAACATTCTTCTCTTGCGTTTGCATTTTTCATATAAACAAAATAAAGTTTTAAATTTGAAACTAATAACCAATATTATATCTAAAAGTTAATTAATATTATCAAAAACTTTTAGGCAGATATTATGATACTTTTATTTAACAGGGTGTCACTTTAGTCGATTGGCTATCCCCCCACATACTCTGCCTCTTTGTCTTGGCCGTTCGCATACAGAACGCAATTTATTATGCAAAATCAAAATATGTTTGCCAACTTACATGAGAAAGCACAAGGCAAAATACAAAAAAAAAAAAAAAAAAATGGGGAAATAAACCTGCAGCTGCCAAGTGGAGAAATGTTGAAGTTTTCATGGAAAAGCAGGAACTTTCGATGAGTTGGGAATTTTTCTCTGACCAAACTGAAACGGCGCCAAAGTCCATTGTTGTTGTTTGGGAGAGGGATCCGGATATTTTTATAAAATAATGTCAACAAAAATTCAATTTCCTTTTACCTTCCCGTTTGAATATTGCGCATACTTATAGGGATGCGACCAGGAGTCCAGGAAGTCGCGAAACGAGGAGTCCTTAGCCTAGGGTATTGTGAATGCAGGATGCCAGGATAAAGAATGAAGGATGCGGAGAGAGGGAGGACTGTACCAAAGTGCACTTGACATTTTACTGGGAATTCGTGACGAAGGAGGCACGTTTCGAAAACCGCAGGAGCAGGTTCTAGATTGCAATGGAAAGGAATGCATTTCCATCTGCACGTTTTCTCTGCTTGTTTAGTTAAGCGCCTTGGCGTGCCTTGTACGTGCATGCACTGAAAGAAATTCCACCCTCCCGTCCGCCCGCCATCAATTAGCATCCGCCCGTAATAGTCGTTAGCAGCAAGTGAGAAATTGCCGAATGGTTTTAATTTATTCGTGGCTTGCGTGCAACCCAACTTGTTGAGCGTAAGTGGGTTAAAGCTATAATGTTACAGAGTGGGAAAAAATGTATACCCATTATACCTGAACATTTTATTTTTACAACAGCTGATTGATATATCTATAAAACTCCATAAATAATTTTATTTCGTATCGAATGTGCTTTTGGGATTTATACATCTACAAATATTTATTCATTTGTACACCAGAAAAATATGTTTATCGAATTTATTCATATAATATTAAACATATAATATTTAAATACATTTTAAATGGTATCAAAATAATGTCATAGAAAATAATAAAGTTGCTGAAATAAAAATACCTATTTCAAATTACTTTGAAGGAAATCAGAAAACTTTATTAAATTCCTTAAGCATGAATGTAAACTTCATTCTTTAGATTTCTGTCTAAGAAATCCTTTAAAATAGGGTATTCTTGTGATCGATCAGCTTTATGTTTTCAAGTCGATTGCATGAGATTTGTATTTGTTTTCATCATAATTTTGTGCGGCTTGGCTTCCGCTGCAGTTAACCTTTCGAGCGGCATATCCGCTTTCCTTTTTCCGCCGCACTCCATCATGGCGGAAAATCAGAATGGGGGGTGGAAAAGCCCACGGAGGAAACTCGAGACGCAGCTCGCACACGATTATTGTGTATTGTGTATTATAATAAAGTTCAGCTTCATTTCCTCTGCCGTTCGACGGCAGCGCTGCCATTTTTCATGGGCCAAGTAAAAGGCCCTCCCCTTTGCCATCGACCATCTTAGCCTCATGCTCAAGTGCGTCTAAGTATGCGTGTCCTTTTGTTGTCCGACGTCCGTAGATGGCGTCCATGGATCCTTGCACTCAATTTCCCCCCATGTTCACATGGCTGCTCCTCGTCGACCAGCGCCATCGGAGAAGTGTTTAGTGCTTGCCCTGCACTCCAGTTTTTGCTCCAAGACTCTGCCCGAGACTTTCCACCTGACCTTGGCTCCGGCTTCAAGTGGGAGACGCTTGCGATGCCGATGCCGATGGCGGTGCCTTTTGCCTTTTGCCGTTTGCCTTTCGCCGGCATTAAATGGCCTGGGATGGCGTGTCGCAGAACCATTTCCCCCTCCGTCCGTAAATTGTAATTTATTTCAATCCCATTTTAATAGATATTTATGCTTTGTTTTCCATTCGTCGTGCGGCGCTTTTAATGCTTACATTTCCGGACATTTCAATAAATTAAGTATCTCCCTGCACCGTGTTGTCGTCATCCTGTTGTTATTGTTGTTGTTATTCCATTTCTGCACTCGATTTGTTGACAGTTGGAAATGAAATTGCTGAAATGGGAGTCGGATTTCAGGTGGCCCCAAGGCTGTCTTTTTGCATACACACAGTGCGTATGATCGATATTTGGGTATTTTTGGCTTAAAGCTCTTGGGAAAATTGAAATTTTTGTGGGTTTTCAAGTGTTGTACATTTTCAACACTGTTTCAAACAGGCTTTAAATTGAAATATAGAAAAATTTATATTAAAAAAAATGCCCAAATAAATTTAAAATCAAATTTTACTAAATGTTAAACAAATGCACTCAAAAAAGTTCGAATTTCTGTGCACTTTTTATTACGTAAACATCAAATTAGCTATATTACTGATCTCACTAAAAATAAATTATACATTATTATATATTTTTGTGAACAAGAAATATAATAAAACGTATCCAAACTGCAATGAAACCTAATCCTATTTTTGGGTGACAGTTGAAAAATGTTTCTACGACTTTCCGTTAGTGTCAAGTACACTCAAAAAAAAAAAAAAAAACGAGGTAGCTTAGCAAACAAACTAACGACTATTAAAAGGTTCGACGACGAGGATGAGACGAACAAAACCTGACAGCAAAGTGCTCCATTTTTCTTAGTGAAAGAGGCTACTCGACTAGCATTTAACAGGAAAATCACATTAGGCGTTGTTGTTATTGCCCGCGGGTTGCAGTTCCAGCTGCACTTGCACTTGCAGTTGTTTGCCAGTTTTGTTGCATGTGAAACGTCGACGGCAAAATGGGTGAAATGCATAAATCATTGGCAAACAGGTGCTGGCAAAGAAAGCAAAAGCAAAGGCAGCATCGACTGCAATTTTGCGAACATCCAGGACGAGTGCAAACATACGCATCCACACACACACACACACACACACACACAGGGGCACACATGCGAGGGTGTCCTCGACAGGGATGCCAAAAAAAAAACCTTGGGAAACGGACAACTAGATATTTTCCATCAGTATTTGTAATAGCAATTTAATTCTTAATAATAGCTCATTGTTTACAATACCAAAGGCATTGTATTATTTAGTCACATTAATTTTAAGAATAGTTTGTTAAAAATCTGGCCATCATTATCAAAATGGGTTATTAAAAAGGGATATGAACAGCGTTTGTAATTAAAATATTCTTTTATTTAATAATTGTTTAATTAAAAACCCATAACAAGTTACAAGTATGAAAATTTATTTATTTTGCTTACCTTAGAAAAGTGGAAATATAATTTCTCGAATAACAATTCCTTGACCTTAAAAGATACAAAAATATGTCATAAAATCTTTACATTTTTTAAAAACATTTTTCTTACATACTTCTGATGTACTGTTATTCAGTAAAGCTAGAAAAAATGTTGTTTAATAGAGTTTATTATTTTGGTAAGGTAAAATGCCAAACTATTTTCTTTAAAAAGGACCGCTTTGCATCTCTGGCGGTGGCTGGTAAGGATGCAGCTCCTTGTTGCTGTTCCTGCTGCTGTTGTGCACTTGCATAAGTCTATCAATAAATAATAAATGTTTACTTCATTGAATTTGCAAAAGCAATACGTTGGATAGACTCCAAGCCGAACGCACCGCTCGCCGGGGCCAAAGGATGAAAGGACGATGATGAGGATGTGGATGTGGATGCTGTTGGTGCTCCTGATCCATTTGCCAGTTGCCATCGAACCATAAATGATGCAGCCGCAGCTCCTGACGAAATCCATCACAACGGCTTGCAAATGTGCGAACGAAATTCTTCCAAAAAATAATACTCCCCAAATGGGATTTCACTCGAATCGTTTATTGTTAAACGCTTAAACGGCAGCAAAAGAACTCTTGAGACGAAAATATCCTTACATTCATCCGTTTTGGTAATAATGAGTAAAAAAACTAAAACGCTAAAACTATGATGCTTACGTTCAATTTTACAACAGTTCATTTTAAGAATAGGAATTTTTAGGTTTTAGATGACTATGTGACCAATTTATTTTATTCAAAGGCGATTTTTTATTTAAAAAAAAATAATAGTATTTTGAGTATATGAACATTAAATCCCTAAGGTTTAATATTCAATAACTAGGAAAACCATTTTGGTTTGTCTTCCAACATCTTCAAAACTATGAAAACCCTTTTAATTGCTTATGCAAAATTCTATAACTATTGAAACCCTTTTGTTGGCTTTTATTTTTTTTAACCGTAAAATAAAAATCATGTTCGTTGATTTTCCAAGTTATTTATTAAAGTTTTTGGGGCTACCTCTGATGGAAGTAGTAGTTTTTGAAATGGCCAGTTGGTGGATTGATTGTTGACTCCCGTTCGTTGTCCTCTTCACTAATCACAGCCTTCAGTTTCGGTGCGGGCGCCCTCCATGCAGGGATATGGCTTGCATATTGTGTTGTGGGGCGCCGACGGTCCGTGATCCGTTTTTGCCGTTCCCGCTTGCGCTACCGCTTCCACTACCGCTTCCGCTTCGACTACCGCTTCCACTATCGCTCCTGCTCCCGCTCCCGATCCGCTCGCCTGTCCCAGTTGGGCGGCGGCTGCCAGGACCTCCACGGTGCTGTAAATGTTGGCCATGCTCATGATAAGCGTGCCGCCGGCAGCTCCGTTGGACACGCCCATGTGATCGTGGCCTGAATCTGGCTTGGTCGCCGAATTACGCTTGGACTGGTTCTCCGGCGGCTGGCAGTTGGGCGAGCACTGCTGGCCGGGAATCTCGGGGATCGCACACGCCTTGCTGGGATGCGGACCAATGTAGAACGGATTGAAGGGCTTGTCGTCGGACTTCATGGTGTTCATGGCGGAAAACGGCAAATGGAAAATGGCCAAAAGATAAACCAAATACGAAAAACTGTTATTTAACGAACAAATTTGGAATTTAGGCTAGTCTACCGAACTGCTCTGTGTGAGGTTGGCCCCAAAACTGATTAAAAGTCCCAAGCTGACAGCTTAACCCATTTGATTCTTGCAAAGGAGCCTACTATTTATGGGGTAAAATTTTAAAAAATATTAAATTTTTAATTTCATTTAAAAATGTTTATTTCAACAATACGAAACACTTCTGGATAGTATATTTTGTAAGTGTTAAGTGCTTTACAATTGTTATTTCAATAAATATATAAACTCTAACAAAATAGAATATATATATTTTCTAAATGTGTTAATTGCTTTCCACTTATGACTAAGAATATTTATGCGCGTCCCAATAAATTTACAAGGCATTTTAGCTTGCCGCAATTTACTGACAAGGCAATTGTCTAGTTTAGTGTATCATATATAGTAAATAGGATTAAAATCAGATAACAAATCAGCTTACAAGAGCTTAATAATACCCATGCACACGCTCATGCACTCGCACTAACACACACACACAATGCATTGCTGCTGCTGGCAAATCGAATAAAGTGAAATTCCTGAAAATAGTTTTCTTTGTTATTCCTTCTATTTCGATCAAATTAATCATTTGCGGAAATGTAAATAAATATATTTATTTATTATGTATTAATTTTTTGAATAAACTGTTTAATTTTGTGTTTTAAAGGCTTTTTTTGGTCTATGCAAATAAATTAAATTTGTTACAAATTTAGAGAAAGAAATACAAATTTCTAGAGTACTTTTAATCATAACTAAATTTTCAAAAACATAAATTTTTCAAAATCTAATTTAATATAAAAAATGTAGACAAAATTCTAGAGTACTTGTTGCAATAATTAAAGTTTCAAAAATATAAAATTAATAACTTAATAGCTTTTCTTTAATATTGGTAGTGAACTATTTTGTATTATATATATTTTGTATCTGAAAATTTAAATAAATAAATAAAATAGTAAATGGGTTTCTTTCTCCAAATATCTTATTTAATTCAATTTTGGTAAATACGTTTTTGATCGGCTTAGAAACTGTCTGTTTAGAATGTGAATTCTAATATCGTTTGCTTGGTTTTACTCGCTTCTCGCAGATGCCGCGACGCTTTAACCCACTCTGACTAACCCCGCCGCCGCCGCAAATATGTAAATGTCCAACATGCCACTAAAACCACTAAACCCAGCCAGCAGCCACTAGTAAAGCCAGTCGCTAGAGAGGATCAGGAGAAGGAACAGGCCACTCCAGCAGGACATCAAACCGATAGAAAGGAACACAAAGACACTGAGAGAAACGCTATGGCCGGGCCGCAGGTGCAGCATAGCCAGCGACCCAATAGCGCCTACTATACGGGTTTGAATGGCGGCGGAGGAGGAGGAGGAAGTGGAGGTGGAGGTGGCGGTGGCGGTGGAGGAGGAGGATCCTCCGGTGGAATAACCAGCAGTGCATCGCACACCGGCCTGCATGCCCTGCGCCAGGTGAGCAACGAAACGGAGCTGATCTACCGTGGCAGTCACAGCAATGGCACCGTCAACGAGCTGCCCTCCACTGCCCAGCACCATCTGCTCACGGGTCGAGTTGCCAGTGGAGTGGGATCGGGAGTACGGGAGCAGCAGGTGCACCACCATCAGACGGTGAGCAGCATTGCCGGCACCGGATCGAGTGTCACGGATGCCCTGATCGGGACCATTGCCTCTGGTGGCAGTGGAGGCGCCTCTGGCTCCACGGCAGCACTGGGCATCAAGAAGTCCAGCACGCAGCGCAGCATTGAGATCATTGTGGACGCCAGTCAGTGCGGCAAGGAGCTGGTGGCGGCCAGTAGTGGAGCAAGCGGCGGAGCAGGAGCAGCAGCAGTCGTGTCCACCCTGGATGTGGAGGATGTGGAGCAGGGCGGCGGCGGCGGCCAGGAGTCGTCGTCCTCGCACCGCAAATCTTCGCGGCATCGCCATCGACCGCTCCACCGGCGACTGATCACCTATCTGCGGAACCTCTTCCAGGGCAGCACCACACAGAATGGTAAGCCAAAGGTCGAAGGTCATCCACATTGCACATCTCATGCATTTTACGGGGCATTTACTTTTCAAAGATATTTATTCCATATCAACAGTAATGTTTGAATAATGAGTGACATGTTTAAATCAAAAAATAATCTTCATAGGGCAAACAAAAAGTAGGTTTTAAACTAATAGTTCATATTATTATTTCTCAAAATAAAAAAACACCAATTCAGGTACAATATATTTTTTAAATTATTAAATTAATACAAGTTTACAATTGGTAATTACTAGTTAATAAAAGAAATTGTTTTCCATCCTTGGAAATAAAAGTTAGGCCTTGGAAAATGCTTTCTAACTTATAAATACCGTTTTAAATTAGTTAACCCTCTTAAAAGCAAAGCTAGTAAGCTGTAAGGACTAAAATTTAAAGATATTTGTCGGTCAAATAAATAATTTTTTAAATTAAGTCAATTCAATTTAATTTTCATAAATTTTTTGCCTTTGTTCTATTTACTATTTAAAATATGTTTTCAAATTTAGGTTTAATTACTTAGTCAGTTTTTTTTGTTATGAAGTTCAGTATTTTAGAACCATTTCGCATTCTCCGTTTTTTTATCGCACATATTTTGATTTATTTGTTTTAACTATATTTATTTTTTTGATTTCTGTTTCTGTTTTTTTATCGTGTAGCTGTGAGAACTCTGCTGGTTGCCTGGGGCTGTATCGCGAAGCGTAAGCGGCAATGTCTGTACTTTTGCACCCCTCGTTTAACCCCATAAGACCCACCCCCCATCCCGCCCGCTTAACCCACCGCCCGCTTAACCCGATTGTTTCGCCGTTGGCCATGACTAACCCCTGCCAAAAAGTGCTAACCATTTTCAGTTCGGGTCAATTCATGGCCATGAATCCGCAGCCGTTGGCCTGGCCAACTGGCGTTGCAGATATTTTTTTGCGCATCTTGAGGTTGGCAGGCGAGGGAACGGGAAAAGCGGAAAAAAAAACCGCTCGTAAAACGCGCTTGCGGTTTCGCGGCTGTTTTTGTCGCCTGGTCGAAATTTATGCATGGCGAAAATTTTTTTTTTTTTTGCGGGCGGAAAATCATCGCAGCAGCCTTGAATGGATTTTCTATTGAAAACCTATTAGGAGTTGTGGGGTGTATATGTTTTTTTTTTCTTTTTATTTTGGGGCGACCCTTAAGCTTGGAAATTGCTTGGCCTTTCTATTTTGGGCTTGAATTCAATTTATTTGAGGACCTAGGGAAATGTATTGTATTTTTAGATTTAAGTATTTTCCATGCAAATATATACACATTGCCTTCAGCTTAACAATGAACAAATAATGGTAACATCTTTAAATTTCGGAATATTTTAAGAATTTGATTGAATAATATACTATTGGATTAAGTATGCCGCCTTCCAAAATGAATAAATTTCCTGCATAAATATATATACATTTCTCTTTAGTTAAATAATGAAAAAATAAGAGTATTATCATTAAATTGCTTGATATTTGTGAGTATATGTATAACCAAATTCTATTTCTTTGATTGAATAATTTAGATTAGGTATTACGTATTCGGAGTATATGTATAACCAAATTCTATTCTTTTGAATGAACAAAATGCCAGCATATAATCCATCAACTTTGGATAAGTTTTTCTGCAGACCATTCGAGTGACTGCCACTGCCGAGCGAAACTTTTGCATTGTTACTTTTCAATTTGATTTGATTTGATCTGAAGAGCACCCCCAAAAGCCTTCGCTTAACCCTTTTGTGTGTGCTGTGTCTTGCATGATTAATTATGGAAATTGACGGAGCTCCCAACTCTAGATTGCATTGATTGTTTACGGCTCAGCTATGCGACCCCATACCCTTTGGTCCTGCTCCTTGGCAGTTCACTCAGCCATCGAGTCCTTCGAGCAGCTTCTTTTGTCAATTTGCTTTCCAATCCCAATCCCCAATCTTGTTTTTGTCTGTTCCGCTTAACTCCCTGCTATTCAGTATTTTTCCAACCCGATTTTCCTGCCCGTTTTTCCATCGCCATCTCCATCGCCATCGCCATCGCCTTTCCATTCCCTGCCCCATGGAGCATTTGGCAAAATGATGAGCTCAACATAAAAGTTGCATGGCTCATCCTGAAAATTGAATGCAGGAGCGGCTAAAGAGGAAATCGATATGGAACACAATATAATATTTGTTTGTCAGTGCTTCAAAATGAATGCTTTACACAGGGCGAAATTTAAGCTGCATTTAAGACACACATTAATTAGTAACAAAAGTTTAAGACTGAAATCGGTTATGATCAAAGGAAAAATATGGCAAATATGTAATCAACAAAACTATTGTATATTGGGTAGTTACTTAAATATAGAAGAAATATTTTCTTAGTTTTATTTATTTATCAATATAAAGTTTACTGTCTTGTCAAGTTATTCAAGAGACTTTAAAATTTAGGCTTTAGAGTTAAGAGTATTCATTTCCGTGTAGCAAGTGGATTCCGATGGAAGTTGGGGCAGTGGCTCGGAGGGCATGGCCATGGGCAACTGTTGACAATGGCAGTAGTAGTAGTAGACAACAACATCGACTGGAAATCGAAACTCTCGAGTAAAATTGGACTGGAGGACTACGGGAACTTTGCATTTCACTCGCCTTGCCTTTCTCCACATTTTCCCCCAAATGCTTTTTCGGCTTTCGCAATGGGCGACGGATTTGCAGCTTGGCCAGCGATGAGAAGCGGCGCAAAAGTTTTATTGAAAAAGTTTGATGAATGACAAGTTGGCTTCCTGCAAAACCAGCGACTGCTACCATCTTGCCAAAAAAGCCAAGCCACCCACATAACCGCCCAAAGTCCTCTCAACTTTCGGCACTTCATTCGTAACTCGTCCCACCTAACAAATCGCTGGTTTATGTTATCAAATGACATGACATTTAAATGTTATTTAAGGCCTACAACTTTAATTGAGTTTAAAACGCGCGCGCAAATTGAATCTAAATTTGCTTTAGTGGATAAAGTTGTTGGCCGCGAAATTACGAGCATTTGTGGTGGAGTTTTGTTAGCTAACTGTGGACAAATGACATTAATATGATAGCATATTAAATCGTGCAAATTAATCTAATTTAAAGAGTTTACTTTCTGAATTGAACTACTCATTTGTTTATAATAAAAACTTAGTGATTTATTACTCTTATGGTTAACTTATGAATGTTATAAGCTCTTAAATTTATTTTAATCTATTATAAACAAAGAGTAAACCTTTATTAACTGAAGTATTATACTTGACCACACTAATTGATCTAAAGTTTTTCAGTTTCCCAATTCGATTTAGTATTCCCCCGTTCTGCGGCTCCACATTCGAGGCCCAAAGTCAAGGACATTGAGGGTCCTTCGTGAGCCTTGGCCGCGACAGGCATTTCAATTAAGTGCGAGAAGGGTGAAAGATGAAAAGGGGGTGCCCAGGGGCCACGAGGGAGATCATGGGGGTCCCAAAAGGGGAGCAGCACCGAGTATCCTGGCAAGGCTAAAAATACACAAGTTCAAACGCAAACGCAAGCCAGGCAAAGTTGCAATATGGAGCAAAAAATATATTCCAGGAAGAGATTCCTGAATTTCCGATATACTCTATACAAATAGACATATTAGTTCGCAAAGTGATCAAAAAAAAAAAAAAAGTAAATAAAATAATATACAAAAGAGATGAAATTAAATGGAGAATTCATGTTTCCTCAACTAAAATGAAAGATATTATATTTTAAACTCAGCGACATGCAAGGCATGCTTTCTTTCTTGTTAACAAATAACTTAAATGAAATGTATTTTGTTAGCTACCAAATCTTTCACGAAATAATACCTTTTCCTTGAAGGGTATAAAAATAAGACAGAAACAATTATTGTATGTATGTGTAGGATGAAAATAAATTGGAGTCGCTGCTCGTTTTGGCTTTGGTAATTGGCTTACTCCATACTCCGCCGTTGGTTTTTCCCCTCCCTGCGGAATTTTCCTTAATGTTTTCCTCGCTGTTTTGCTTTCTTTCTTCAATGTTTTACTTTTCTTTTTGTTGGTTTCAGTGCCGCTGGCTGCATTTTATTGTCCTGTCCTTTGCCATCGCCTGTTTGCCTTAATTTTTTCCCGCTTTTCTGCTGCCTTATCCTCGGGACAGCTCAATCAGTGTGTACAACTTTCCTTCCTCGTCCTTTTGGTCCCGGTTTTGTTTGCCTGTTTGTCCGTTTGCCTTTCTGCGCTTTAATGCACTTCATAATTTCTTCATTACGCCACGCCCACACACCACTTTCGCCCACACTTTTGTCGGCAGGATGGGACCTTTGGAAGGTAATTGAATTCGTTGTCTGCATTTTGTGGTCGCTTCATTTTGTGCACTTGATGGTCTTGCCAGTATTTCGTCCGGCTCTGGCTCTGCCTTTAATTATAATTTCATTATTTGCTGTTTGCTCGTTGTTTCTGCTTCTGCTTCTGCTGCTGCTGCTGCTGCTGCTTATTGCATATAATTTTTAATGGCCACCGCGATGCTTTAAGTGCATCAAGTCCATTGAGACCTGCTTGTCCACTGCCACGCCCCCCCAGCTCCTGTGTCACAGTTTTGTTTGGCTGTCTCTTGTTACCCGCTTCTTGGCACACTTTCTCGCCTTTCACCGCCAGCCAAGCGAAAGCAGGAGGTGGCAAGGATGTCGCCCCAGTAGTGGCAACTGTGTCGCAGCTCAGCGATCGTACCCTGTAAATGCACTGTAAGTGTCCTGCTTGGGCTGTTACAAATCCGCAAAACATATATTGACTGGCCAATACAACTGATCTTAGCCTTTGGTGGGCTGGGCTTTAATATAATTAAAAAATATTAAAACTCTGTAAGACAAGTTATGGACTGGGAAGTGCAGTTTTGGTATTCTTGCTGGAAAATTCAAATAAAATTGCATCAATGAGTAATATAATTAGCGAAAAAAATAAATGCAAACACAATAGTAAAATTGTCATACCCTATCGTCAAATTTGCTTAACCTAACAATAAC